TAATTTTTTCAGGACTATTATCATGACAATAAATTGAACTTTGAGGTGATTTCTGCCCTTACGACAATTTATATGATACATTTTTTAATGATATAGTAAACTAACATTGAATCCCTAGAATGAAACCAATGTGATAATAATGTACAATCCTCTAACATTTTCTTGAATTGAGTTTGAAAGTATTTTGTTATGAAATTTTATATCTGTGTTCATCAAAAAAATTGGTCTGCCATTTCCTTTCTTCCCGCCTGCCTGCCTTCCTTCTTCCCTCCCCCCTCCCTTCCTTGATTGATTGCTTGCTTTTGCCTTCTTTATCGGGTGTGGGTATCATGGTAATACTGACTTTCTAGAATACTTTGGTGGTATTCCTTTCCCTTGTATTTTGTGTAAGAAGTGTGGTTGTTAGATCTTATAAACTTTAGTAGAATTCAGCAATAAACCTGTCTGGTCTTGGCCTTTTCTTTGTGGAGAGATTTCTATTACTGTATCAATCTTATTGCTTTCTATGGGTGTGATGAAATTTTCTATATATCCTGGTTTTAATTTTGGTAGGTCATATAAGTTTAGAAGTATATCTTTTTCTTTTAGATTTTCAAATATAAGTTTTTAAAATGTTCACTACACTTGAGCCTATTGTAACAATTCTCTCTTCATTTCTAATTGTATTAATTTGGGTTTTCCAGTTTTGTTAATTGTCTCAAAAAGCCAGATCTTTGTTGGATTGATTCTATGTATTTTCTTTTAATGTTTGTTTCATTAATTTGTATCCTGGTATCTTTTATTTCTTAATGCCTACTGCATTTGAATTTGCCTTCTTGTTTTTCTAAAACTCCGAGGCACACTGGGTTATTTATTTAAGATTTCCTAGGACCTGTTTGGCAATATTCACCTGATATACATTCAAAAAAATTATACGAGAAAGGATCCAAACCTAGAGAAGGAAATGGATATTCATATAAAAGAGACATGAAGAACCCCAAGTGGACATGACCAGAAAAGACTCTTTCCATGACATAGTCAAGATGTCAGAAGTACAGATCCTAAAGTTTATGTTCATTTGTGCCATCATTTTCATATGATTATGGGAATTGTTTAGTCCCTTCTTTGTCCCACCTTCTCCAGTGACCCAGTTTACCATCTAACTTTATTATTTAGTCTTCAGGTACTTGTGTTGTTCTCAGGCTTCTCTTACAGTTTATTTCTAGTTTTATTGGGCTGTGATTGGATGAGCTATAAGGAAGTATTTCAGTTGGGTCTTGTTTCACTTTTTTCTCTCTTTTTTTTTTTTTTTGTCATGAAAGTGGGTCTTCTTTCACTTTTTTTGTCATGAAAGCTTGCTTTGTAGCCTATGACATGTTCAAGTTTAGACGAAGTGCCACCAGCTGTCTAGAGGAAAGTACAGCCCAGACCTGTTGGCAGTCTTCATCTGCTGATATCTGTTAAATCCAGTTGATCCAGTGTGTCTCTAGCTCTGACTTTCTTTTCTAAGTTTTAGTTTGGAAAAACTTCCTAAATATGAGAGTAAGATACTGAAGTCTCCAAGTATCATTTTGTCAAAAACCATGTGATAGTTTTTTTTTTAAAAAAAAATGAAATTGGGAGCTGCAGGATTTGGTGCATAAATATTTACAGTAGAAATATCTTCTCAATGAATTGTTCTCTTTATTAAAGTCTAAAGGTCCTCTTTATATCTTCCTAACTAGTTTTGTTTCAATATCTATTTTATGAGATATAAGAATTGATATGCCAACTGGTTTGCAGCTTGTCTTCCTGGGAAGTTATTTCCATCCACTGACTGTCATGTTTTGGATTTCTTTACCACCTCAGTGTATCTCTCCTAGACAGCAGACAGTTGTATCTTCATTTTTAATCCAGTCAATTAGTCTGTATTGCTTAATTGGTGAATTGAGACCGTTTGCATTTTAGGTTGTTACTGAGAGGAGTTTGCTATTTATTGTGATCCTCTTCGTTGATATACTGATTGACTGGGTTATTGACATATCTCTTCCCTTTCACCTATTAGCTAGCATTAGAAGTTTACTGGTTTTGTGTATTGGCCATGATTGGTTCCTTCCCAGTTCATCTTTGTTCATTTGTTCTCTTGTGTAATATATTACTTCCTATGTTCTCATAAATGAGATGGCCTTTCTTCTTAGTCCCTTACACTATGCCTTTAAGAATTTTCTGAGGACCTGGCTAGTTTGGCATGAATTGTCTTAAATTTGTTCTTGAAATGTTGACTTAGTTTTAGCAGTTTTAAAACATAACTTTGCTAGGTGCACCAGGCACATGATCTTGGTTAGCATTTACTTTCATGACTTTGCATATCTTTCCTTGCTTTTAGGGTAGCTGAAGAAAGTTCTGATGTTATTCTTGCATTTCTACCTTTGCATATGAGTTACCATTTTTCCTTATAGCTTTTTATATTGTTGTTTTTTTTTTAATTTTAGCATATTGACGAAGGCATATCATGGAAAGATTCTTCACTTGTCTTTTCTACTTTGAATTGTTTATGCTTCATTTAGTTAGATATTTATTTCCCTAGGCATGGGAAATTTTCTGCTCTAATTTCATTGAATAAAACTGTCTATGACTTTGGACCTTATCTCAATTCCTTTTATTCCATGGTTACTTAGGTTTGGTCTCTTGAATGCACCGCAAATGTCTTTGAAGTTTGGGTCATATTTGTTAAAAAGAATTTTTTTTGACATTATATTTTTTTTATTGAGAAAAGGAAAAAGTTTCCACCTCCTCCCAGCCTCCCATTTCCCTCCCACTCTTCTTCCCCTCCCCTACTCCTCTCCCCCTCCCTCTCTAGTCCAAAGAGCAGTCAGGGTTCCCTGCCCTGTGGAAAGTCCAAGGTCCTCCCCCCTCGGTCCATGTCTAGGAAGGTGAACATCCAAACTGGCTAGGCTCCCACCAAGCCAGAACATGAAGTAGGATCAAAATCCCGTGCCATTTTTTTATGTTTGTCTGAATGTATTATTTCTCAATTTCACCTTCCATAAAGTCTTCTGCAAGAAAGTAGTTTGCCACCATCATGAGCTTGAACAGAAAAGGGGCTGAGGTTATCAGTGAAGAGAAAGTAAGGGTGCTAGGCTGTGCGTGAATCATCTCTAAGGAGTCTGGGTTCCATAACTGTTTGGGAAAACTCGCCCACCAAGCAAGAATCACACGCCCCCTTGCTGCCCAACATTCATCATGCCATGAAAGACTAACTGAAATTTTTGACAAGCGTCCTTTGTCATCTACAAAGCTCAACCTGGTGGAAATCATTTCTAGGTGGCATGATCTATAACATTCTTTTAGAATTTCCCTTCTGGTTTAGAATGACACCACCATGCCACTCACAAATTTTTCCTAACAGACAGTTACTCCTCTCCTGCTTCATCTGCACCAGATACCTTCTCAGAAACAGAGACTGGGATTTACAAGAATTCACATTAAAATGTTTTTAATATTTACCCAGTTGCCTTATCTAAGCAACTAAAATCTTCTATTTATATTTTAAGATCAGTAAAAAATCCTATTTAAATTGAATAACCTTTCACAGTGTTATATTAAAGTATTGACTGATCCTATTTTAACCCACCCTATAAAACATTTAGATATCAAAGTAAATAGTTAGGATCAGTAGCCTTTTAACAGCATTACACCTGTGTTCTTTTCATTAAATTAAAATCCCAAACGAAACCAATCATTCTAGATCTCGCACCATCCCCGTAGGGCTCCAGTTTCCCTCCTCCACTGACTCAGGATTCTTTGTGTCCCCTTCACTGACTCCCAGAACGTCTCTTGGGGCTCAGCTCCTTCGTCTTCAGATCGGTTCAGTGTCCACAAAAGAAACTGGAAGTGAAATGAGAGAGAGAGCTCTCATTTCCAGTCAGCTGATGGAATTAAATCAGCCTTGCTGCCTTCACTCCAGACTCTGCCCAAGAGCAAGATTCTTGTAGTTAGCGTCTTTGGCTCCCAACAGTCAGCAAAAAGCGCCACTCCTGCAGTAAACTCATCCGTGGAGAGTCCAGATGTCATGCCCTGTCATGCTCTAGGAAGTACATGTTATCCCCCTCCATCCAAGCTTTTAGAGTCAGATTCCAGAGTAGAGTGCAACACTACATTCTAGCTGCCTTCAAGGTCATCATCAGGGTTCCCAAATTTGAGAGCCATTGCACTCTCTCATTCTCTTACCCTCATTTCCTGGGTGCTCTCAAATTCTTCCAATCTTGTGCCTTCCACCTCTTCCAGCATTCTTTCTGTGTTGCCCACAGTCATTGCAAAAAATGCCTCGGTTGGAGCTGAATCATAAATATAGATAGAACATTTTTTAAGTGACGGAATAAATAAAGAGCACTCCCAAAGATTCTCTCTGATAACCTGCCAGGGATTCTTATCTACTAGGACATCACATGTCTTTTGCAGAGCTAGAAGAATGTCTGTTTAACCATGTGAGGTATGAAACAGGCTCCTTCTGTTGCCTTTAGCTCAGGATATGTAACACAGGAAAGAGTGTGGTGTACCTCCTTCCTATGGGCTATGTCAGAGACATACCAATGACACAGAAAAGTTATGTTCCTAGAATGAGCTCCTACAAGTATACTTCTGGCAGGATGGTAGACGGTATACATTTGAAGCATTAAAAATATGTCCCTAAGGTATTTAGTAAGTTGGAAGCTCTGTTTGTGAAAATAACTTGAGATTTCTTAAAGAATGTTCAAAAACTTCTGATTCTTTCTTCAATTGTAAGTGAGGTTGAGCCTCTGAAGTTTCTAAAAGTCTTCAATCCTCAAGAGTCCTAGGACCCTGACATATCTTGTTGGGAATTCTGCATTCTCTCTGTAAAAGTTGCAATAGATGCTTATGAATTAGCTCCAAGATGTGTCTGCTGAAGCCACATCTACTTGCTAAAACTAAGCATTTTAAATGGGAAAATAGCATTCTTCTGAAAGGGTGGTCTCTTGGTGGCTGTCTGAAGGTCACTGTCCTGTTCCTTTGCCTTTCAGGAATGTAAGTTCAGCTGGAGAGGAGGCCCGCCGGCGGATGCGGGAGTGTGATGGGCTCACGGATGCCTTGCTGTACGTGATTCAGTCTGCACTGGGGAGCAGTGAGATCGATAGCAAGGTTGGTGCTGTTTGCATAGATCCAGATTCTTAGTGGTCAAAGGTGCTCCTGAAATTAAACAACGGCTAGCAGCCAAGGGAAGCTGTCACTCGGCTTCATACTGATGAGCTCTATCCTGATAGGATGCCAGCATTGGTCAAACATCTAAAAGGATGCTCACCATAGCTTAGACCAGCATTTGAAAATTGCTGGTTTTGAACTTTCCAAACGCTCCACAGTTAATAGACGTTTTCGTCACTCAGTCCCTGCAGTCATATTCTCTTCAGGAATTCTCATCCATAGTGCCAAACAACAGTGTCCCCAGACACGGAACACGTCCTGTGAGGAGCTCAGCTGGCATTGCAGAGAGCCACTGCCTTGATCCCGTGGTTTCCAGCATTAACTCTTCACCAGAATTGCCTTTGAAACAGCTGGGGAAGATACCTGAGAGGACCCCATTTCCACCCTCCAAATATGACTACCCAACTCTGGCCTCAAGAATTTACCCATTTAAAAATGAATCATGATCTGATGATAATACGGATTAAATTCTTGCCTGAGAAGATGGAGTTTTGAAATGGAGTACTTAGGAAGGGTACGTAAGGGAATATGATTGTAAAGTCAGATGGAAAGCAAATAGGTGGGGTTCAGTTTGTATGGAGTTTGCTCACAGTGCCTGCAGGAGGCCCTGTGTGCAAGCCCCGGCACCACATAAACAGCATGAGCCACACACACCTGAATTCCAGCCCCTGGGAAGTGAAGGCTGCAAAGGTCAGAAGTCCATGGTCATCCTCAGCTGTATGGATACAGCCTGGGCTGTATGAAACCTTGTCTCAAAGAAAGGATAACAACAAAAGAACAATAATTTGGGGGCTGGAGAGGCGACTCAGCAGTTAGGAACAATTGCTGCTCTTGCAGAGAACCTGAGTTCAGTTTCTAGATCCCACACTGCAGTTCATAACTGTCTGCAACTTCCATTCCAGGGGATCAGTGCCCTCTTCTGGCTTTTGTAACTATTAGGCATACACATGGTACACATACTTACATACAATGAAACAATCATGCACATAAAATAAAAATAAATAATAGTTCAGTATGCTTAGCCATTAATTAGCTTTATGGGTGAGTTAGCATAACCCTTCTTAACTTTGACTATACATTACAGTTACTGAGAAACTTAGAAAATTTTACTGGTCTCTGAGCCTGTTACCCTGAAGAGTTGGGCTCAAGATGTCTTCCAGGAGTACGGTCCTGGGAACACTGGCTCCGTCCAGTTGTAAACACTGCTGTCCTCCCATCACCGATGCTCCCTGGTCCTAGGGCCAGTCATGCACCACATACTACTAATTTCAAGGATGAGATGTTATATAATAAAGACAAGCATCCTTTTTCTGGAGAGGCCCTTAATATCCATCGTAGACCTTTGAATACTGTTGACAAGAAAATTAAATTCCTAAAGTTGTGACCAGTCAACAAATCTTGAGTATTTACGGGACCCTGTTGGTGCAATAGACACATGAGGTATGAAAGCGCTCATGTAGGTAGTTCACTCCTGTGAACACTTTAATATTCACAGTAGCAAAAGACTGAGGCGTGGAGACGCTAAGTCTGTGAGTTTGGTGGACACAAAACGCTTTCCCGTTTTCTAGACCTTGCAGGTGAATAAAATAAAAGCCACTGCCTCATGCCTCTGCCAAACTCTCCTGCTCCCCTCTCAGGAGGTTTAGGCAGTTTGCGGGGCACAGGGCAGGGGCACCATCATCTTAAGCGTCATTGTCTGACTGCTTGGATGAGCAGACTCCTAATACCCCTGGGAGACTGGGAGATGATCTCTTTTAGAGACCACGTGTTTTTCTAAGAGATGAAGTTGGCATGGAGGACTTCTCCAGGCTGGAGTGAGAAGACCCGGAGCATCCCTGATGAGTAGGGAGTGGGCTGAACATCAGGACAGGGCCCTCTCCATCCCCCTCTCTCTAGAGCACTGTACCCAAGTGCTCTTAACTGGTGACAGCAAGGACCATCATAACCACATGCCCTGAGTATTGAAGGGCTTCATCCAGTGTGATGATAAATGACTCCACCATGCCTTTCTGGCTGGATCGTACTATTGACTTTTAACATATTATTATTGCACCATAATTTTCCACTCAGCCCTCAGCTTGGCTGCTTCTGAGCTTTCACGGTGACAAGTTAGAGGGGGGAGACATGAATGCACATTCTCTTTAAGGCCAAAGAAGTTAATGAATAAGAGCCTGCATTCCATGCAAGCTCGTGGCTCCACTCCTATAATTGGGAGACTTTATTGACTGGGTAACATATGGTGGAGCGCTCCACAGATAACTCCCAAATTAGCCTGTTCTAATAGAAAATAAGGAGTCACAATGACCCTGGTGACCAAGAAGAGCACTAAAAAGCGCTGTTGACAGTAATGGATGTCACAAACAGAGCCACCAGATGCCACACACCTTCTGCTGCTGCCAATGGTCTTTCTTTTCTTCTTTTCCACACTCTGTTTAGAGAAATGCTCTTGAACTGGGAACCTAGCTAACCCCCAACTCCAGGAGGCTTTATAAGAGGCACAGCTTTCCTCTCTGGGCCCTCTCCTACCTTCTCCAGCTCCTCCCCCACACCATCTCCCTAAATGCAGACTGGTGGCAAAGCTTTCTTTGAACCTTCAGATTTAGTCTCCCTAGTCCTGTTCCAGGAACACCGAAGCCCCAGGGAGGATAAACAACACGAGGAGAAGGAAGCTTAGTCTCCCAAGTCCTTGATGGAAGAGAAATCAGTTTGAGATGATTTGAAAATTGTCCCGACTTGTACCCTAACATTTCCCTTTCAAGGAGAGACGTGTCTGTCTTTCTTGTGTCCTCCTGTACTTACCTGCTTTCATGCTGGCTCCCTTGCCTGATGTGGAAAGGATGCTCCAAACAGAAAATGAAGTTGGCTCAAAGCCTGTGGGATTAGCAGTCATGAAACCTTGGCAAGCTGGGGGAAAAAAAGCTGAAGATGGCACGGGCCCCAGAGCGTATCCTGAGAACCACTCTTCTTGATTGACAGTCACAGCGCCCCTCATCAGGTAAAGAGCACAGGCTGCCCTTTACCTGCGTCCTGCCAATGAGAGCAACAGGCTAGGATCTGAGTCCCGTGTCCTCTGCCTGTGCTGGCACTGAGCCCAGACTGAAGAGGGATGACTTTCATCAGTGAGCAGCCGCGCGTTGTCTTCACCCATCCCCTTCCCTCTTCAGCATGAAATTAGGTTTCTTGCTTTTAGTTGTCACATAGTGGGTCTCGGAAACATAATTGCCAAGGTGCAGGGGTTTGTTTTCAACTTCCCCTAATTGTTTTCCCTGAGAATAAAATTTAAAAGGTCAGTTTTGAGGCCCCGTGATATGGCTCAGCCTGTAAAGATGCTTGCCTCACAAGGCTGCTGGCAGCTTGACTTTGATCCACAAAACACACAGCGAAAGGAAAGAAACTTCTCCAGGAAGCAGTCTTCTGATCTCCACATGTGTGCTGTGGCATGCAAAGACACATACAGACACAAATACGTAGACACAGATATACAGACACACAGACACAATAAATAAAACATGTTCTTAAAAGTCAGCTTTCTTTCAGGGAAGCACTTTCTGCAGAGGGTCAAAGGACAAATGTGGAACCCACAATCTCGGTCTCAATTCTCTTGTTCCCGATAGCAGCCCGAGATGTGTTTTGCCCTCTACAGGGGTGGTCATAAACACAGCGGCCCGCCAGATTTGTGAAAGCATTATAGTAAGACTAGCCTCAGGTTGGCTCCAGCCTGCAGGATGCAGCTTCCTGAACCTTGCTCTCAGCTTCTGGAAGCCACTAGAACTTGTTTTGCCTCACCTCCCCAACTTAGCGGTGACAGCAACAAGTGGGCACTGGGTCTCTAAATTCATCCTGTCCTCTGCAGTCCTGTGGTGCTGGAGCTTGTATCATTACTGGCTTGCCAATGAAGAAACAGAGGCACGAAAGGGGTAGTCACTGTGCACAGAGCCCCACAGCCACTGGGCAGAGCTAGAATTCACACCAAAGCCAAGACAAATGTTGAATGTCCCAGGCTAACGGCATCTCCTGTGCTGTCTTCAGCATTACTGAAAAGGTATTATTCCTTGGTAAATGACATGCAAAGACATCCCCAACCAGAGCCAAACTAAACCCACCCCTGTGATTTAGTGATTTGGGTTCCTAAACTCCTGGCTGGAGTTGCCTGTAAATGGTGATCTTGTAGTTGCGAGTTTGTCCAGTTCTCAGAAGTGCATTTTGATTACCCGTGACTGGTATTTGTTGAAGTACCCAGTGTTGATAATTATTGTTTGCCAAGTGAGACGTGGTCTTAGAACCTGCCAACCTTTTCCAAATTCTTCCTGTTGTAGCTGTTAGTGGAGCCCTTGAAAGCAGGTGCTAAATGCAATGAGGACTAATGTGTCCATGGAGACTGACTGCCTTCCCAGGGTGGAGGCATCTGCTGATTGGCTTACATTCACTCCTCCCTGCCTTTCCAGTAGAGGCGCCTGCTGATTGCCTTACACTCACTCCTCCGTTTCCCTTTTTCTTTTGGGGACGCTACAGACCGTTGAAAACTGTGTGTGCATCTTGAGGAACCTCTCCTACCGGCTAGCAGCAGAAACGTCTCAGGGACAGCACATGGGCACAGATGAGCTGGACGGGCTGCTCTGTGGGGAGGCCAACGGCAAGGATGCAGAGAGTTCCGGGTGCTGGGGCAAGAAGAAGAAGAAAAAGAAATCCCAGGACCAGGTGATGCTACCTGCTCGCAGCTGCATGCAATTATCCCCTTCCCTACTACGATATTAAAGCAGCACCAGTATATAGAAAGAAACAGGGCTCTGCTTTCACAACGTATGCTGAAATCGCTAGCGTGTCTGCATCATTTTCCTTTCTTCTAGTTCAGGCTGGGTAGAAACTTCCCAAGAAAAGAAAAAGCCATCAACACACTCCAGTGACCCAGTTCCTAGAGTGTGGATAGAGGCAGGTATGATGCCTGTATTCTGAGTGACAAATACGTTGAGTCCCCTTTGAGGGTGGGGAAGGACGGCTACCATGAAGGTGATGGAATGCCAAGGACAGGAAAAGGTGGGGAAGTGGGGAAGTTGGCAGAAGAGGCATAATATTCAGTGTATGTTTGACAACAGGTTCAGAAGGCTGGGTTATTGTCATGTTTAACCCCGGGAGGTGGGGATAAGAATCTGGGCTTAACAACTGGATGATGTCAGAATTTTGGTCTTAGGGGCATTTTGGTAAGTCCAGAACGCTGTAGCTAGAGAAGGAAGCCTCCTCCACATACATTGCTCTGTACTGCAGACACCTGTGGGACGGTTCCCCTGCTGCACAGTGAAGACCATTAGGCAGCTCTCCTCGGGGTGGTACTGAGGATAGCAGAGCCTTCAGTCTATCCCTGGGGTCCCTGGGGTATGAAAGCCCTCACCCCCAGATGTTGGGATATTATTTAGCTGTAGAAAGTTTCCCAGCAGGCATAAGGCCCCGGGTCTGGTGCCCAACACCAACTCCAAAAAGCCCTGGGTAGTGAATTCTGTGTATTACTATAAAAATGCTCAACTCTTTTCCTGTTATGTGTAAGATGCCTCAGAGAAGGGTAGAAAGGCCTCTTAGAAAACCAAAGGGTCTGTATCCACCACGCAGACCTCCCACTACAGAGGAGCCAACTCATGACATCAGGATCAGTTTAAAGATGGCCCTAGAGTTTTCTGTTTTCTAGACATTTGCATCCACCCTTAAATTTGGCTTTAGTGACCAGGTAGGGAAGCGCACTCCTTTAATCCCAACCTTGGGAGGCAGAGGCGAGCAAGTCTGAGCGAGTTTGAGGCTAGACTGGTCTACACAGCAAGTTCTAGGCCCGCCAAGGCTACATAGTGATATACAGCTTCCAAAAAATTGGCATTTGTGTTTTGAACCTTAGAAGAACTATACCATTCTGCAGGTCAGACTGAGTTAGAAGATAAAAGTCTCAGCAGTGTTTCCTTTTATTTCCTTGATGGGGATAACTCAGAGAAATGTACGCTACGAAGGTATAGCACATTCTTGCTTTCATTTAATCAAGTGGTTGCTATGGAAACATACCTGAACTGTCGCCCTGAGGACAGATCTATATGAACGGTGCATGTTTTGCCCTCACCTATAAAAGCTCTTGGCAGCTGACTTTGCTCACTGTCTGTTGCTGAACCCCATAGCCCATAGTTCCTGGTGTCCCTTCCCTGGAAAAAAAAACTTCCCAAAGCGACAACCATCAGACTTCTCTCTGTCCCACAGTACAGTTTTGTGATGACAATCTGGCCTCTCAGGGCAATAGAGAAACCTAAAAGAGTAGAAGACAAAATTAATAATTCTTCTTTTGTATAAAGAAGCCCTTTGGGGTTTGTTTTTGAACTTGGCATGTGTCTGGAGACCCGGTAACAGTGCACTGATGGGTTCTGCTCCATCGTAGCTGAAGGGTCATACCACACTGTCCTACTATTGGCTACAGGCCAGGCTGGCCTAGGTCTCACTCTGCATGAGAAAACCACAGGTCCAAAGCAGCAAAGGCAACTGGGAACCCAACTCCCTGTCCCGGGAGTCCCAGACACTCTCCTCTGGAAGAGATGAAAAGTCAGGTGTGTGTTCAAATGAGTGACAGGACACTGATCAGACTCCAACAAGATTCCGCCCCAGTCTGTACACACACAGGGTCGACTTTCTGTGGCGATCATCTTTGTTGCATGACCTATTGCATCATTATCACTGGAAGAGATCGTGTTTGGCTTTGTGCAGATCTCCTTCATTTGGTTGTAGATGCTAGATGCTTAGGTTAGTGAGAATTTTCATCTGTTAAACGCGTTTTGGCATTCCTTCACTACTTCACTGGGAGAATGATTCCTCACAAGCAAATTAAAGCTCAGCTGCACCCTTCCAAAGCAACCCCATGTGAAACTGCTCACTGGTCCCATCTACTCCGTGTCTTCATGTAGTTAGACTGCTCTCATGGTCCCTGGAGTTGGATACATCAGTGGGTCTTCCAGAGGGTAGATAGAAGGCCTGTGTGGAACTTATCTCCCTATATGACTTTCACTCCAACACCTGGAACCAGTTATACTGTATGGCCATCAGGGTGTGGCCTCCGGTGCCTCTAGGTCTTGCCAGAGTCTTGTTTTAAGTGGGTGTTCACAACCAAGGTTTGTCCAGTCTTAATTCTTTCTTTCTTGAAGAGATTTTATGTTCAAGTGGCCGTGAGATGGTATACCCCATGGTCTTCTCTTTCCTGGGTTTTCATCTCCTCTACATGTTATCACGTTCATAGTTGACATCTAGAATTACCTAGAAAGCTAATCTAATACACATTCTACATTATCGTCATTTAAGAGCTTAGAATGTGTGGCCTGGGATGATGATTCAGTCAATAAAGTACTGAGTTCTCTCTCTAAAATCTGTGTAAAATAAGAAGCTGAGCATGATAGTGTGTCCTCCCAGTGCTAGGGTTGGGGAGATGGGATCCCTAGACTATATGTTCTTCCTTGTTAGAGAGACACTGTCTTAAAAAAAAAAATTAAAGATGGAGTGTGCCTTAAGAACAACACCTGAAGTTGTCCTCTGGTCTGCATACATGCACACACACCCAACACAGACATACAAACCCACACACATGCACACACACACACACATGTACGCATACATACATACATTCTTACATAAATAACTTAGAATTGCATGCATGTAGTATAAATGTGTGTCAAAGCATCCTTGCAAATGCTATTTTAGATGATAGTGGAAGAAAGGAATACTTTGCCCTCGAGGGATTAGCATAGCATTCTTGAATGCTACCATGGACCCCATCACCCACCACATTTTCTTGAATCTTCAGGATTTTAGCTCTGGGCTTTAGCCTTTTGGAAGCCCACCAACTCATGTGTATGATATTGGCCTGAAAATGAGAATCTGAGCCTAAATAGCATGCAATATCTCAAGGCACAAATGTTAATTTTAATACTCATTCAAAACGTTACATTAGAGATTTGAATTCATTTGACAGTGTTTCTTGTCAGACAAAGCAAATGTTAATTAAGAAAAGAAATCCAAGTGGCTTTCACCTCTGGATTCTGTATTGGCATATGCAACCAACAACAGACAAAATACGCAGGAAAAATGTCTGTTCCAAACATGTTGAGACTCTTGCAGGTAGTCCTGAAATAATATAGCACAGCAGCTTAGTACACACAATTTATGCAATGTTATTTACAATAAGTGGTCTAGAGATGATTTAAAAACAAATGGAGAGATGGACACAGGTCATGTGCAAACACTACACCCTTTTGTGTGGGAAATTGAACATGGATTTTGGTATCTGCTGAGGATCCTGGAATGGATACCCCCAAAACACTATGGGATGATGCACATATATCCATCATGTGAAAATAGTATGTAGGCAAAATAGAAACACACTGTAAGAAGAAATATTCATGCATGCACAGCAGCCTCACCTGTGAGAACAGAGTTGACAGATCACAGGTCCATCATTTTGAATCTTTTCATTCTGCAATACATCCATAGCTTTGTCCGACACGTCAGAGTACAGTGATGCTGTTGGTTGGCTGCACACACATAGGTTCTTCTAGTAAGTGTTTCCCACTGGTGCAGACCACGATCCTGTAGATGGCAGGAACAGATGCTAGATCTCTTTCCTAAAGGATCCTGAACTTCTCTTCCCAGAACTCTTCTCGTCCATGAGCACAAACAGAAGACAAGCATTCCTGCCCCTCTGGATGTGTCACTGGTCTTCAGGTGGCCTGTGCATCAGAGCAGAGCCTTATCAAAGTATAGAGCTTTTCCTAGAACAGCCTGGATCCTCTGCAAATTATCCTTCAGCAATGCTTCAGTGAGCAAAAAGGGATGCCCTGGAGTATTAAGTGGGTCCAGTGGGGGGGGGGGATCTCTCAGAGAGAAGTATTGTTCAAATTGTGTAGCAATGCCTACACAAGGTAGTCATGATAGATCTCTTATTCATTTCATTATTCATAAACCCTCTGCAAAGAATGCAGCCCCTTCGTACCGACTCTCGGGCCACCTCTCTTCTACCTGCCTGGACCCATCTGTGATGACGAGAAGTTTAGGGAAGACCCACTGTTCTACTGCCAGCCACTTGTCACCTGATACAGCATGGCTTGTCTCCGTCCTGGCAGATAGCCCTTTAGCCTGGGAAACAGAAAAGCTGCTGCAAATCCCATCCTGGACTCAGCGTGGTGTGCTGACCCAAGCCTTTACCAGCAGAAATTTCCGCTGATCTGAACTGTAGTAAACATCTGTGTAGTCAACGCTCACCTACCTCCTTAATCACTTCTTAAAAATGTGTCCACCAGGAAGCATCTAGAACAGATGAATGTCTGAAGGGTTTTGACACCCAAACTACTATTTATGTTTTTGCATGTGAATGGCACATGCAAATATGATGGTGTTCAAATGTAAATATACATGCTCATGTATGAGTGTGTGTGCACATGCTTGTGGAGGCCACAGATTCTCCAGTGCATGCCTTGTTCTCTTTATTTTTAGACCGGGTTTCTCACTGCACCGGTAGCTTAACCATGTGACTAGATCAATGGCGTCAACCAATTCCAGACATCCTTTTGTCATTGCCTATGTGTGGGGATTGCAAGTGGATGCCACTCTACCTGACTTCCTTCAGTGGCTGCTGGGTTTCCAGACTTAAGTTCTCAGGTTTGAACAAGCTGACTGAGCCCCCAATATTTGTC